ATACGGTCTTATGGTCTCACGACAAGTATTACGGCTTGATTATATAACCTAAATATATCTTGTACTGCACTGTTAATTGAGAATTATGTTTGTAATGCGATAAGAGGACCGTATATACGAGACACCAGTGACTCATGGCACACATAAAACTTCGACAGGAAATTCTATTTCTACATTTCTTCAAAAAAAAAATAGATTACTTGTTTTGTGTAAGAATTTAGTTTATGTCGAACAAGAGTTACAGTAAAAAATTTTTCTGAAATAAAATATAAATTATATTTCGAATGCTTTGTGAAAGATAACCAATTTATAATATTCCCGACAACGTAAAAACACATTTCTTTTAGAATATCGGTCGATGAATTCAAATCATAGTTCAAGAAACGAATTTATGTGCAGATGTTCTACTACAAAAAATACAAAACCAAAATCTAGATTAAAAAAGTCGCAACTACTTATACTGAAACCCACTTGACCCCCATTAAACCCCATTATTGATTTCACAAGTGATAAAATGGGTCGACAAAGAACCAGTTTTAATTACTACAACATTTAAACATAATAGTTGTATCTTGGTTTATTCAGGTGGAAAGAAAAATTAGACATAAGTGCTAAATCCACAAACTATTCTAGATTATAACGTGAAAAAAGAGTTGATTTTAGTGATCAAATGGCTTTTTACAAAAGCCCAATACGCAAAATACTAAAGTGGTACCGGAAAGTGGCAGTGGAATTAATATTTAATACCGCAGTAGTCAATACTTAGTTGATAAATAATAGAAAACGCGAAAAAAGCGACAACCTATGCTTGAGTTCAGACTGGAATTAGCGAAGGCGTTTGCAAATAAAGAAATGTTGAAACCCTGATGACTAATTACACCTAAAAAATACCATCTCAGGCAAAGCGATGTAGATAATAATAAGAGAAGGAAGTGTACAAGAGGTTACAAAATTTTAAGAATAAGCGTGACTAGTAGAAAGGCCGATAGAAAAATTAAAAAAGTTAAAACATACTGTAAAGAATGTGATGGCAAAACTGCAAAAAGCAATTTTACTTATACAGGAACTATTATTGAGTAAAAACGTGTTGTGCCTCAAGTGCCCTTATAGTATTGGAAAACATAAATTGATAGTTTTTAGTAGTATGTTTTTATTGTTAATTACGTATGTTAAAGTAAGTTATAGTATTTGTAAAAAATTGGATGTAAATAATATTATGTGTTCGACATCTAAAAAAGCTAGACATAAACATACACGTAGATTGACCACTGCTGAATTACAATCTTTTTAGAAGCATCTGCCGAGGATGATGTAGATTAAATGAATGGTGGAAGTGACTCTGACGAAATATTTGCACAAAGTCGTTTAGAAAAATCGAGGATTGCTTTTTGGAAACAGACGACACAAACAGAATTTAAGACTTTTCTCGGGCTTATATTCCAAATGAGGACAATTAAAATGGACCGTCTAAATGACTACTGGAAAAGTATGGGTAACTTCTATAATAGTATTGACTTTACTAGACAATTACTGATAGCCCATATTAAGAAATAACCGAATAGACAATCCCCACGTGTCAAAGAAACTAAGAAAAACGTAAAGTGGTCAGTATTTACAGCCCTGAAGGAATATGTGTGACCAAGTGCAGAGATAAACAAGACATAATTACTATTTAAATGGGAATAAGCCACAATTAAAGGTGAAAGTACGTTTATTGGCATTTCAATTTCCAATTCGGAAATCGTTCTCAAAATACAAACGTATTTTCGTATTTTGCCGAAAAACCTAATATTTGCAGTAATTTATAAATGTTAATAGCTTCGTTTGTACATAATGACATTTAATATAACTAATTTAAATTGGGGCAGTTAATAAGTTATTAAAGTGTGGTATATTTCACATAGATCACAAAGTTATCCAATTTGTTAATCCCAAAGAGCGATTATCTAAACGACTGTACTTGCCCAGATAGTCACTCTGTACTCTGTATACACACGTGTATTCTGTAAATCGAACTCGCTTTTATAAGAGTTCATTTTTTCAACGGAAAAATTTAGTAAGATAGGTCAAAATAGCACAATTCTTATTATTTGGTTGAGCTACCCTAGTAAAGAAATGAAGGTTCTACGTGCCACAAAAGCCGAGATATTAATTATTTTGCAAGCGTGCTTCAATTTAAAGTCCGAATCTAAAAAAAAAACAAGCTCAGACAGTTCTTACCTCCGTGGTACTTTTCCGTGGCGGTAATTTACGAATACCATTATTTTAATGAGTTATAACAGTTTACTCCTTTACTGTGTATGCCATCTATAACTTCGATCATATATTATAGATCTTAATTCAAAATCCTTTCAATTTTTAGATCTTAGTATTAATAAACAATGAAAATATGATTTTAAGAATTAAATGCTATCTTAGTTCTTATTGGCTAAATAAGGTTCTGTTTTTGTCTCTTTCTTTTCTGATAAGCCATTGAGATTGCAAATTTCAAAATACTTGTACATACAAGTATTGGACAAGTATTTGGACAAGTACAAAGTGATTTGCTTAATATTTAGCACACTTTAAAAACCCATTAATTGCCATAATTTAAAGTAGCTATATTATCTGCCGTTGGGCAAAAAATTAAATTATTAACATTTATAAATAACTAAAAATATAATATTTTAGAGTTTAGGGTTTTTTGCAATTACCTCGCCCAATTATTTATATATTTTAATTTGGTATCCCTCAACATAAAAAACCTTTTATGGTCTACAACTTTTATTTGAATCATTTTTCTTTATAATGTAAAAAACGTTTTACAAGCAAAAATTTAAATTTAAATAACTGTAGAAGATTTTTGAAAACTATTTACCGAGGTTGCATGGTTAAGTTAAATATTATTTTTTTATGTATATTATGTATATAAAAATGTAATATTAATTACATTTTTAATTAACTAATATTTATTGTATATTGTACAAATTATCTAAAATGTGTATACACATTTTGTACAAAAAAACGTTTTTGAGAACGATTTCCGGAATAAAAATCAAAATGTCAAACATAAGTTAATTAAAAATGTGATTCTTATCACAATTACAACCAATAATTGAGGCGTAATCCCATAAAAACATAATATTTACCTCAAACTATTCACCGATAGCTTGGATTAAAGAGGTTGTAAATTGAAATTTATGTAAAATATTCCCCTACATAATTCTCTGGGAAAAATACCTACGTTAAATAAATATACCTTTTATCTAAACAACGAAGAAACCAGTTAGACCGCAACATATTAGCAGGTAGTATCAATGTCGTTGTTTGAACTTGACCCACCCAAAACGGATCGATATGTATGTATCTAGATGTTATTTTAAGTATTATTATCGGCAACATCGATTGGCTTTAAAATGATAGGAAATACAGTGATTTTAAATGATCGATGTTAAAACGTAGGTTTAATGTAAAAAATAAAATATATAAAAAAATCAGACTATTGAAAATCCGACAACGGTGCTAAGCCAACAGAGGTGCACTAAACGAACATACACGACTTATATATAGAAAATATTGGATTTTCTTGGTGATGCTAAATTACTGCAACGTGAAACGAGTTGAAAATGATGGCGGGATGTATATATATATATATATATATATATATATATATATATATTATATATATATATATATATATTATATATATATATATATATATATATATATATATATATATATATATATATATATATATATATATATAATATATATATATATATATATATATATATATATATATATATATAATATATATATATATATATATATATATATAATATATATTATATATATATATATATATATTATATATATATATATATTATATATATATATATATATATATATATATATATATATATATATTATATAATATATATATATATATATATATATATATATATATATATATATATATATATATATATATATATATATATATATATATATATATATATATATATATAGTAATAGTGACAGCGCAGTGATCAGTGAACAGTGTAGTAGTGTCTGGGGGCTCGGGAGACTGAGACCCCGGAAACCCTGAGGAAGGCTTCAGAGAGGATGCAGAAAGCTCGGCAAAATGGATATTGATGCGGTTCAACCCAGAAGACTGGTGGGTTTGATATTAATTTTAGTAATAATATTAATCTTAGCTCTAGGTTTCATATATATATATATATATATATATATATATATATATATTATATATATACTACTATATAACTACTAGCGTTTACCAAGAAAATATGGGAGAAAGTAATTGATAAATGGATACATGAAGAAACCAAAATATGCAAAAATCAGGTTGAATTTATACAAGGCAGATCAACAACAGATGCAATTTTCATTATAAGGCAGCTGATGGAATAAGAAAGCAATAACAACAAAAAACACTGCTCATATAGTATTCATTGATCTTGAAAAATCATATCATAGAGTTCCTCAAGATCTGTGGTGGACTCTAAATAACAATAAATATGTCATAAATATACTATTTTAATAAATTTACTTTTAAAACATTTTATATTTTTAGTATCCTTTAATTATATAAACTTATTTAGTTAAACCTGTAAATGATTTTCATATTATTCAATCCAGGTGGAAAACAAAATGGTATAGACATAAACTTTGTCCCCTTATCTAGCACGTTGTTTTGTAAGATGTATAAATTTTTCTAGTTTTGAAACATTATGTATTTTAACACAATTTTATTAGTAAAAATCATTGATATTTATTATTTTCTACTTGTTTGTTATGATTAAAGCAATTACATATGGGTTTTCTTTCCAGTTAAAATTTTTGAATATCCTATTACTTTTGTACACCTTTACTAGTTTGCCCCAAAAAAAAAACATTAAAATTTGAGTTTTTTATACTTTTTCATCTAAATTCACTAAAAAATGTGCATTTTAAAGACTATCCTTTTAGTGGATTACAAAAAACATTGAATAAAATACCTGGAATAATATTTTCTTCACTTTTCTCTTCCTCTGAGGGCCGCTCTGGCTCAAATCCTGTAATAGCAGCGGTACTTGCATATTCAATTGGTTTAGGCCAGTTGATCAATTTTGGATGAAATAATGAAGTATCTGGAAATGAATTGTTCTTGACAGCTTCTACTACCCAATCTGGTGTAACAATTTTTACTAAATTAGGTCCTAACTCTTCAGCCTTTTCAACTTTAGGTCCCTTTGCTTCAATAGCTATAAGAAATTGACAGTTTTTATTAAAGTTTAATTGAACTTTTCCTCCATGATAGGTAATCAAAGACCATAGGAAATTTCTGTCTTCTCTAATTTGTGAAAGACAAAATGTAAAATCTGAGAATAGTTTGCCATTTGCAGCAAACAAATAGGGCCTTATGTTGACAAGCTTGTGAAGGGATACACACATTAAAACCCATTTTGGAGTCAAAGCTGGTATTTCATATAAATCATTTGCATCCACAATATCATTTTCTTCTGGATTTTCTCCTACAATCAAATGTGTGATATAATCAGAGAAATAATTTAACCGTTCTGCACCCCCAGCTTTTAATAATTCAATGATCTGCAAAATAAATATAAAATATTACTATGTGTACACAAACCATGCAAACTAATTTATCCATAGTTTAGATATGCATTTTTTACCTTTTCATCAACTTCTCCACTGACAAAAAACTTTATTTCACAAAATAAGTTTTCTCTTAACTCCAATTTTGATATTTCTTGAGAAATGTCCCCCATTGTTTTAAATTAAATTAAAATGTTTATAAACCCTCCTATTCATCTCTTTGAATAATACTGAAGATAGTCACAAAACTTATAACTTATAAAATGATGTTTTTAAAATTTAAAATTGCATTTTTTTTAGTTTAATGACTAAAATATCTTCTTTCGTTAATTTTTATCATAAATTCACTAAATTTTCTAAAATATGTTTGATTTTTGCCACCAAATTTAAATTATAATTTTCATATCAATTACTCTGAAGTTATCGCTACAATACAATCGCAAGTGACACTCGATGTCATTTCATGCATACATCTGTCAAAAATTAATAGTTTTGAATAAATAGTTATAACATATTTATATTGTTTAAAAAGTAATAACAACACACATTTAGTTTTCCTATTTGTAATGTATTTTAAAATTATTCCTAATATCTACCAGGACACTTTGGTAAAATTAATTTTGTTCCAAACCAAAACATCTCCGAAATAAGGTTGGTATGAAGTGTTATATAAACTGACAAGTGACATATATACGAAAAACGAGTGACAAGAAGCGACCTCTACGATACGGCTACGGTGTTCGTTCAAGCTGCCGCAAAAAAGTGTTGTTTGGTTTGTAGTAAAAAGGCTCTGTAAAAATCATTAAAAATCCGAGCCATCTTTTAGTTTTAAGTTTTTTAAATATTGTCAAAGAGTATCACAAGGATCTCTCAAATGGCAGAAGCAGATAAATTGAATATCGACAGTATAATAGCCCGTTTATTAGAAGGTAATTTAATGAAGGTCAAGTTATGTTGACAAAAATAATGGCGTCTGGTGAACGCCTAGATAAACGTCAAAAATAATTTTTGTTTGGAATTTTAGTGCGTGGAGCAAGACCTGGCAAAAATGTACAACTTACAGAAAATGAAATTAGGGGACTCTGTTTAAAATCTAGAGAGATCTTCCTTAGCCAGCCAATTTTGTTGGAACTTGAAGCTCCTCTGAAAATTTGCGGTAAGCGATATTAAACTATTTTTTTGCATATCAACTCAAATATGAGACACATTCTAAGTAAGTCAATGTTTTTTTAATAAATTTCTTTATGTGCTTACTTTCATATTTTATTTGTTAAATTAAATCAAATCGAATTAATATGATAAATTGCCTATACGTATACGATCCTATTTCGTTAGCTCTTTGAAGTTAACTATATTTTAGCCAATGCATAATTTAACAATAATAAAGAATACAGGTATTTTAAAAAATGTTTATTTACAAATTAAGTTTGTGAATAAATTTATTTTTTATTTTCCAATATAAATATTAGATATTTTCTCAAATTACTTAATATTCAACAAATTGTAGAAAGTTAATTCTTGATCAATTTTACTGAGATGTTTTGCAATCTTATCTCCAAACCATACTTTGGTTATTAAACAATCTGTAATCTGCCTGGTTTAAAATGTATGCACATTGAATCATGGTTGTTGTTTTGTGATTGTTGTTTATTTCAAATTTAAATGAAATAAGTCACTGTTACTAAAAATTCTTTAATAATCTTTCTTCATCTTTGGAGCTGTCTTTTCCTATGAAAAGCTCTCTTTTTCACAGAAAAGATAATTGTCATACTGCAGCCCATTGCCTACTTTTTCAATTAATATAAAAGTACTTGGCACTTTTATGTCCTCTAGCAATAACTACTAGACTAAGATTAAATTGAACATAATTGGGGTCCTTTGGTGCTTAAGAATTATTTGGAACTAGGATGAGTTCACAAATGGTATCACTGTTAGATAAATATTATATTGGTGAACTTACATGTATAGAAGGTGCATTTATTGGAATTAACACTGAACAGTGAAAGTATATACATTTATAATTATTATTTACAATAAGCTAATTGAATTCAACATTTGGAAAAGGACACAAGTCCAATAATTAAAACTACCACTCCCATTCATTAGAAACTGACTTAAGTCCAGGACTTGTGCTATTTATAAACAGTCTTCAATTTTTGTTTATCTTTTATGTTAAGTTGTGGTGTATGAAGATGTGCCCTTTCCATGGAAAACATGAAACACCTCGAGAATAAAAATGGCAACAACAAGTGATATTTAAAAAAGTGTAGCCAGGTATATACAGGTTGTTTATAATATATGGCACCAGGAAAAAATATTACAGATATTTTACAAAAGAATACTCCTGATAGAACTCATTTCAGTTTTATCAGGATGGAAATGGTTATTTATAACATTTATCAGGATGGAGATTCTTGAATTGAATTAATAATGCAATTCAAGATAAATTCAAGATTTGCATAAACTTCACCAACATATATGTCCAATTTATTTAATTTTTTCATGTCAGTAGAAGTAATACAATATTCAATTATGTTGGGGTACATAATTTTCTTATTAGTGTTAGATATAGACAAGCCAATGATGACAAGCTAATGGAATTAAAATCTCACATACCTTATTACTCTTTTCACCAAAAATTCATAATGTAATATCTTGAAAACCACTATTAACAGATGTTCAGTCAAATCCAAATTTAAATAACTATTTTTTTGTTTTTTAATTTTTGTTTCAAGATGTCAAACCATACAAATAAATAACATCCACCACATAGCACTTACCAAAATTGTAGTTTAAGTTAATAAAGTATGAAATCATTCAATAATCTGAATATTTATAAGGACATATTTTAGATAATGGAAATTATAGTGAAACTTAAGTAATATGGACCCTACCTTACATTAAATTCTTTTTATGATAGAAATTTAGATGATTACCTGCATACCTTAAGCTATTGTGTTTTACATAAGTTTCACTCTGTTTTAAAACTACTTTCATTAATGTCAACTGTAGGGTGTTCTAAAAAAAAATCAAGAATGTCTATATTGAGTTTATTGTCACCTTGTACATTAAATAGATACCACCCAGTAAAAGTGACAACTCCTTTAAACTACCCTGAAATTGTGGACTTCATAGAATCATTTAAAACATTTTTAAAACATTAAGGTATATTCTCTTTTGGTCAATTTTTTTCTATCTTCTGATAATGGAAAACTTGGAGATCTAAATTGATTTCCCTAGAGATAATAGTTATTTCATATAGGTTGAAGTATTTATTTTTTCTGCCCCCTGGTACCATAATTTTCCAATATGATTGTAAGAAATTTGAGTTCAAATTATCAGGTTTTACTATTCAAAATTTTCTCTTCAGATATGAATGATAAATTTAATAGCTATCACTTAATTTTCACATGATGTCAGTACTGAAAAATGTATGATATAGGAAATGGATAAAAGCAAATATACATTTAATCACTTTGTTTGTCAGTGTTATTTCGAAAGAATATGCAGTAATCATGAGTGATATACATAGATACATTAAAATAATAAATTAATATGATCAAAGGTTTTTAGGTGTTACATGAGTAATTTTTTACGTAAAATGTTTTCAACAATAAAATGACATGTTTATAGATGAGTTTGATCAAAAGCAACATATTACTTTATTTTTCTAAGGGGTGAAAGTTAACAAGTATGAGAAAGATTAGAATTTTGGGGTCACTGCCTTACTTACAAAATAAAATTCCTCAGATTAATTTCATCATTTTTCATATGTAATAATGTTCATTACAAAAATACTTTTTGGTAATTTTTTGAAGCAGAATAGATGTGATTAAACCCTCATTGTTTTTGTTTAATATGTCTTAACAAGATTTTAATCCCATGTGTGTTCTCTTATGAAGCATCTGAGTCCAAGGCAGCAAAACTGTTATTTAATTTGCCCAGGTCAACAATATTTGAAATGTAACCTATTTGGTCAGAGTTCAGTGTGATTAGCATATACTTATTTATTATATTCCAAAAAAATTATGACACTTCTCAAGTATATAAAAATTTCTGAAAACATCAGCTGTTAATTTTCTGTAGTGTAATATAATATGTAGGAATTTAACAATTGAGGGGTCCGGCAGTAAAAAATGGTAAGGGACAATAAAGAAGATTTGAGTTTTGAAGTGTTGAATTTAAAAAAAAATATTGTTATATTTTTTATTAAAAAATATAAAACTATGAATAATGCTAAAATTAGCTGATTATGTTGTTAATCAGGAGGCAAAAATATGAAATACCAAATATTTTTTTTACAATGTTTATTGAGGAAAATATGAAAATATGTACTACAACTTAACATTATTTACCTAAAATATTTGAAAAATTTAACGTAACATGTTAAGTGGTGTTGACTTAACATAACATAATTTGGTAGGTACTAGGAGGTTATTTTAAATTTATATACCATTCGTGATAAACAGCTGGAATCCATTCCAAGAATGATTTTACATCTTTCAGTTTTTCTGAATGAATACTAAGGGGATGATTATATTTTTGAGTAAGTGTAGGAAATTTTTCTTCTGTAGCTGTTGGTCTTCCTCTTTTATTCAAGGACATGGAATTAAATAATCCGTTGTATGATGCTGAATATTGTATATTTCTGGGAACTTCTGAAGATAGACATAATTTCACACTACTTTGTAAAATACCTACCGGTTGATTAAAATAGCTTTTCAGTACTGAACAATCGTATATATCCTCTTGCTGGACCCTAGTTACTAGAAAAGGTTTCTTTTTCTGACACTTCTTCAAAATATCTTCCCAGTGATTGGGCGAATATACCATTTCACAGTTTTTCTTGACATAATTTTCTACAACAGAAAAGTCTCTGTCGCTTGGCAACATTGTATGTCCTACCTGAGGAAATATATGAACTATTTCTTTAAAATAGTCATTTTGTAAAAGATATAGCCAAAGACCAATGATGGTCCAGTTTTTTATTTTGTCCGCAGCAATTGTCTGAAATAGCTATTAGTTTTCTGCCATGAATATTATTTTTCTCAAAGTACATTTTGAGACAGCTAGCTATTTCGTCCGACCCTCTTTTAGCAGTGGATTCATCCCACATAAAAAAGTGACCCTGACCATCTCCAAGGGAATGTATGCTTAAATTATAGCACCATAATTTTCTCTTATAGAACATGGGACCAGTGGTAAGCTTTGGTGTGGGAAGGGTTTGCTGTAGATCAAAACTAATTGCATGCACATCTGGGTTTGAGTTTGCTTCCTCTACTGCGTCTCTGACTGCCTGTTGACCTGCTTCAGCTTTTCTGTGATGTAATTCTTGTTCAGTTTTAATTTTTTTAACCTCAGTTTCATCATTGTGTAACTTAGCATTTTCTAAAGCTACTGAAAACTTATCGCATGCTTGACATGTATCCATTTTCGGAGTTTTGAAACTTATATTATATTCTTCAGTAAATATTCTTCTGAATTTATCTGCAGAAACTGGAGTTATCTTTTTCAAAATGCATTCTCCTACATATTTCTCATAACAAGTCTGAATAGAATATTCCATACTCATATATTGTCTAGAACTGTCAGCACGGGTGTAATGGCTTTTGTACTTAGGTAAGCTTTCAATAAAAGATTTCAGAAAATCTATATCAGAATTGGAATATTTTTTAGGATGATTTGAATGTCGACCTCTTAGATCTGATTTTGGAGTATTTGATCCAGTTTTTAATTGTTTTACTAGATTTTCAACTCGACCTCGATTTTTCTGTAAGCCATGGATACTTAGGAAAGCCATTTTGCATATCTTAACATCTTTCCCTTGTGATTTTAATTTATATTCAATAGTTTGAGATCTTTTTGACACTAGTGCTTTAGTTTTCTTCCTAGTCACATTTTTAGATCTCATACAACCTTGTAAGTAAGCATTTTGTGTATCAAAACTGTTCATGCCCCAAAAATTAACAAAAATTGTCTGTAGTTCTTCATGAGAAGCAAATAACTCATAGCATTTATTGGGGCAACTACACGGTGGACCTTGTGTTTTTGATAAAACAATATTTCCCTTACCTCTGTATTGTTTATATTCTTTTCCGCGATTTCTGAGCTCTTTTGTTTTTAATTGCTTACTTAAATTGCGTTTCCTTTTTCTAG